CAGTGTGGGCAAGCACACTTGCACGTATGGTCACACAACCACGTATACAGAAATGGGCACGTCACCATCAAATAAATTCATAAAAAGAGAGTGACCTGCATCCCCATACAGACAGAAATTTACTTCTTATTTCCTAAAGGTCTTATTTTCCCCTTTATCTCTTCAGTGCTGGGAACTGCTGAGCTTAACAAAGCAAACTTGAGTTTACTTATCACAACAAGCTCAGGAAACTCTGCAAGGAACAGAAACCCAAACAACTTCAATGCAAATACTCAACCTGAAGCCCTGAAGACTGCTTAACATTTAAAGCCCCACTGCTGCCATGCTGACTTGCTGGTTAGGGGGTTTCAAACACAAATGGGTCATCTACATTTAATGTGAAGTTATAACATAGCTTGCCAAACAAACGGATGTTTATGCCATCGTGGGGCTGTTCAGGGATTCCAGAGTGGAACACATAGCTATTATAAAAAGCAAATTCTCTGAAAATTGCACACCTACCTCCTCCCCTCCTGAGGTAACATCTTTAGCTGAAGAGGGGTTTGGGATAGCACCATACGGACAACAAAAGCCCAAGGATGGAGTAATGCAGTGCAATCTCAAATATATCTCTGCCTGTTTCAAGTAGTAAGGTAATCAAAAATTTTCCGTTCACCAGGGGCAATAAAAACACTAGTTCAGCCAAGAAGAAACAAAACCCATAAGCTGATTAAGGCTAACACCCACATGTTCATATCAGAAAAAAAAAAAAAACAACCCCCCAACCAAATGCTTGATATAACATAGTCAAATAGAAGGTTAAAAACAGGTCTCCAATCTCAAGTGCTGTGCATCTCAGAGTTTCAGTAGCTGTGGTCATTTACAGGACTTCCTCAACAACACTTGTGGTTAGAGACTATAAAGTAATCCTGATAACTAGATCTTATAGAGAGGTTCAAACTCTGCTTCTGTCCCTCAGCACACATTAGTGGAAGATTGTTGTGCCATTGTTTGCAGCTTCTTCCCTTCTTAAGTAGAAGATGCTCCCCGGCCTAGACAAACTCTGCTTTAGGCATGTAGCTCTTTCCATCTCACCTTTTGTCCTCTCCTCATGAGCAGTCACTAAAACTAAAGGCCCTTCCAGCCAAAGGTCCTGGGGCAGAGCTGTTAATGGCTTCGTGTACACAATTCATATAGCAACACAACTGTCAAATTTACTCCTCGGTTTTTTCATCACTTCACTGTGTGGTGCAAATGTGTGTAAAACAGTAGGGACCTCTGGAAGAACATCGGGGCTGCACTGAACAATTTCTGATGCAGCTGCTGATGGTTAACGGGGCAGGACAAGTGTTTGCAGTGTTGCACCTCAATGCCCTGACTGATTCACCACCACCACTGGAAAGGAGTCCAACTCACTCTCCAATGTCTGAATATTTATGTAGCCCACTGGCTTTAAGGATGGTGCCACTAAAGACTGAGCTAGAACCACTTCTGTATCTTTTCGGTAAAGCAGCACATTTTTCCTATGTTACATTTAACAAAGGAGGCGTGCTGAATGTCTACTTCCTGCAAAAGTACTATAGATAAATATAAGTACTATAAATACATTCAAAATAGGAGTCAAGTTGCAATTCCACATCCAAATACAAGTCAATCCCTTTGAGACCTAGGGAATAGAGGAGAGCCAGACCCAGCTCAGCCCAACACTCCTCCCTGGCAATGCTCCCCAGGCACATGTGTTCAAATGTGTTTATCTGGGAAGGCTCAGGTCAGTTCAGTGCTGTAGGAGCATCTCCCGCAGCTGGAACATCCGAAGCAGGTAGCGCTCCATGTTGTAAACTGCTCATGCAGCAGGACTGAGAAAAAGGCATCTCCTGGTCACCGGCTGTTACCAACTACAGGAAAATGAAAATACAGCATCTCCGCACCTGTTCACCTGATGGTGAAGGAAGGAAAAGCCATTACCGAGTGACAGGAGACGAAAAACCAAAATCCACTTCAGCAACTCATCCCAGCACTGGTGATTAATCTCACACTCCCACAGCCTGATGCACATTAACCAGATAATTAATAATTTCTTTAGGGACTCCAGCTCGGCAACTGTTTTATCAACCTGCACAACATTAGGAGAGAAATGCTGCATTTGTGATCAAACCGCTGGAACTACCGATATGTTCTGCAGGAACAGGAAAGGCTTCGGAGCAATCTGTGAGCCCAGTTTTACAAGTAACTGTAACATATGTGCAGAAATCAAGGCTGCTCCTTTATCAGTGCAATCACCAGACTCAAAAATCTGAGCAAGATCAGCATGACAAGAATAATTAACAGCAATGACCAACTCCCATCCAATACCCATCTTTCCCCAACAGAAGTGCTTCTCAGTATTTTTTAAAACACATTTTGCTTTTTGCAGTAACACAGTATGTCCAATCATGCACTTCCACTATCCTTGGTATGAATAATAAATCAGACTCATTTACCTTACCACCAAAAAGATAAAATATTAAAAAAAAAAATAAATTTAAGTGTCATGAGATGTGTGAATTCTACAAGCCAAAGGCTTTCAAACAATTCAGTGCAGAGGATGGTCACACTTTGCATAGCTCTTGCTAACAACTTTTTGCCACCCTCTGTGCACTCACGCTCCATGCTCAAGGACAGTCACACAGGATCTGAAACACAATACCAAAGTGCTGGCACCACATTATCTCCCCCAGCACTTAAAAATGGACTGCTGAGAAAAATCATGGTAAGTATTCTTTCTGATATTAAACTCTCCAGTGTGTTAGATATATGTCAGTATCAAGTGATTAAGAATGACTGATAATTAATAAATCACATCCATGGAGAGTGACCGGGTATTATTTCTTTCAGCCTCTGAAAAGAAGAGCTAGATTCACACTTCTGCCTAAGCATTTTATCTTTCCAAATTAACAATCCTGTGTAACTGCTGCTAGCAAGGAGATGTTCCTTTTTTTTCAGTGGTCTTCAAAATAGTAAGTTATTTGGGCTGCTTTTCTACTAATACTTTATTGTTATCATTACTGTGCAGGTAAGGAAAGAGAGACCCATTATGTGTGAGAGTCTTAAAGCTTCCCCACCACAAACAGAGTGGGTTCCTAAACACAGCTTTAACTTGTCCTTTCATCACACAACCATTCTTCCACCTGGAAGAAGCTGCAGCTTTTGGCTACAGCTCAGCAGAGTATCTGCCTTCTAAAAGATATTCTGCTCTTTACACTCAGGTTGTGGAAACGGGCCCATGCAGAGCTCCAGCGTCAGCCATGTACATCTGCAGGACTGACCAGATATTTCTACATGCATATCCAAAAATGATACATTTCCTCCAAAGTTTGTTCTAAGACTAGGCTAGTAATAAAGAATGCTTTTTCTTCTAGTCCTTAATAGGGCTTAATTTGTATTTTTCTTTCATATAATATTAACTGAATGACGTAATATAGCAATTTTTTAATCATGTGCTTTAGTATTTATACAACTCTGCTCACCGTATTATTTGAGCCCCTTCATTTTCATAGTGTCAGTTACCATTATTCCATTAAATTAAATCCTTTTACAAGCATCTTTTTATAAACATGCACTAGAGATAACATAGCCACATGGTGAGGATTCAGAGACTACAGTAAGCAGATTACACCTGTCTTGATTTTCAGTGTAGCTGTCGGCAGAGTATATTCTCCCATCAAACTGCACACAGATCTCCTCATTAAAGCTACAGGGGAGAATAATTACAGAACAGTACATTGCAGTTTACCAATTGGTCTTGCATACATAATGGCCTATGAAAGAAAAATTGCATCCTCCAACAGCTGGGAAAATCTTTAAATTGTTATTAGTATTATTATAAAATAGCCAACATTTAAAACTATCCAATAACTTGCCTCCTGTATGCAAAGCAGACAGATAGAGGTGATCAGGTCCAAAAAGGTCTTCAACTCCCAGCCCATAAATATAATTATTTTTCCCTTTGCAAACACTCCATTCCCCAACCTTCTGTTCCACAGCAAAATCCCTTCCTTCTGAGAAATTATGCTGACTGCAGAGTAAGCCTTGAAAGCAAATGGGTGGTTTTCTGGATCTCCTAAGCCTTGCTGCTGAGCGTAAAGCATCACGTTTCCCCACATCCTCACTCCTTGGTGGGGAAAACAGTGAGTCCGTCAGGTCCCCACCATCCTTCTCCCAGCAGTCAGGGGAGATGGGGGTCTCAGTGGCAGCCTGTTATCTTCAGCCACATCTGAGCCTTTCTTTGGCACCACCAGCAGGTCTTCTTGCTTGGCAGCTGGCTGCTGAGGTGCTGCCTGCCCCAGACAAATGGTGCTGGGGAGGCTGCAAACATCTCCAGGTGGTGCAGAAGGGAGCAACCTCCTGGTGTTTCTGTCCCTGGCTTTTCACACTCCAGAGCTGAAGCATCCAGAATATACTGAACTGGTAGTCCCGTGGAACACCAGGAAAAGTGATTTTTTACCTGTGTTGATACTTAAGACATGTGACCTGTGTTAGTGTTAATGGATAAAAGGCAAATCTATTTTTGGATGTTATTTGCATTCCAAGATCCCAACTGTTAGGACCTTCAGGCCAGTCAGCAACCAAACCCATCACTCTTCAGGCACCACTTCTAAATACCAGCTCTTACTCATCACACAACAGACAATCTAAGAGAAAAAAAAACAGATATGAGAAGAGCCAAATTCTTCAGATGAAACAAAGCCAAGTTAGCTTTGCTAACTTTTCTTGCTAGCCAACAACCAAAGCATCCTAAAGCCCCTGCAGGACATCCTGACATGTTTGCCTACTCTGCTAAACCAGGAGCTAAGAGCTGAGAACTTCAGCAACAAGAGAACATGCTGCTGGACCAGTCTCACATATTCTGGTTCTCCCAAAAGATTTTCACAGGATCAAAGACTCCAAAAGAGACCCTTTTGTACAAGGAGCCCCACAGCTACCTTTTCCCAGCTCTGAGGAACAGAGACAAAAGCCACCTCGGCACGCAGAGGGATACTTACCATGTAAATGCATCTAACTGTTTGCAGCATTAAAATCACTGAACAAAATCGCTCTGTGAAACGACTCTCAGTACCAGCACTGCAAAGGATTTGCTGCTGCACTTTACCCAGCTGCACCTCCCAGACGAGCTGGCACGCTGCAGGCTTTCTTCCAGTCTCTCTCAGCTCATTACTCGTAACAGGGACACGCTGACGAAAGAAGCAGAGTGGAAAACTAAACGGAGCAGAGCCTGCTCTGGCCAGCAGGCAGCCCACCACCAAGCCAGTTGCTCCTATGTTCTAGGAAATCTTTGAGGTTCTCTTAGACAACTCCCTGTTTGCAAGGCTGCACCGCATGCTCCGGGGTTAGCTGGCGGCAGGCAAAGAGAGATCACCCAGTCTGACCTCCTGTGCAAACACTGCCTGGTAACCTTCACCCATTTAAACACTGCTTTCAACTCAGCAACTCCAGCACTTTTTCTAATTAGCAAGTTCGGGTAGAGAAATTCCTGGGCATCTCAATCACTGATTATTTTCCACAAAGAAAAGGGAAAAAAAAAAAAAAAAGAAAAAAGATTGATATAAACTTTCTGTCTCTGGTGCAGACATTACAAATTTTGTTAACTTGTTCCTCGGGCCCCAGCAGGGGCAGAAACCACCCTGGGGCAACCACCAAGAAGGGTGTCCTCCACCAGGAGTTCTGCAGCAAAGTCCAGAGGTGACGACACATGCACTCAAGGATATTTTATTCTGGCCTTGACTCTGTGAGGAGGAGCCCAGAGAGACCTCCTGGGGCTTAGTTCGTATTTCAACTCTCCCTCACAGAGCAATCTCACAGTAGAGAAGTGAAAAATAGCTTTGCCATCAATTGCCACAGTAGTAAAGTTTAGCCCTCTGGGAAAATTTTCCTCGACTTCACTAGTTCTGGACCAAAACATTAATCAAATAAAGCACATTAGCTATTATAGCTTGTATTAAAAATATAAATACCTCACAAAAACTGTGCTTTCCAAGGATTAAGTTTTAGAGGTCTGTACATATCTTTTCCTTCCACTACTGTTCCCTGACACTACTGACCATGCATATTCAAATCATCCATTTAAAGGTACTCTGAAACAAAACAATCCTTTATTAATTCAGATTATATACTCCATGACTTTTCGGAAGAATTGTATGTCCAACGTGTCTTTACAAAATATAGTTATTCCACCTTCCTGTTCTTTCTAGAAAAAAAAGCCAGCCTGGCAAGAGGAGAGAAAACAGGTATAAGACTACTACTGACTAAGCCATAATATATAGGATTACCTGGAAATTACCAAATTAGGAACCTGGTTTTCCTGAATGGAGAGGGAAGGGTGAATCATATCCACCCCAGACAAAGGAAGGAAAAGGGGAAAAAAATTGTATCAATTGAGTGGAGAAACCTGTCAGATATTTCAGTAGATCAGGACTCTGGCTATGTATCGGAGAGGAGAAGCCCTGATCAAGTCACATGCCCTTTACTACAGAAGATAAGATGAAAAGGTTTCAAAGGAAACTGATGGTGACAGTTTCTTCATTTGTATGCAATGTGACATACCAGATCCAAACTGTTGGCTACTTTTTGAACTATTTGTCAGGGGAGAGAAATTATTATTTTCTTTTATATTTTACTTTCAAGAACTCTTAGTCATTTGGGGGTTCTCCCCCCTGCTCTGTGTCCCGCCACCCTCTGTTTTATTTTTCAACCAGGATTCAAACATTCACCTTTGATGTAACATTTTTGCTGTGCATCAGAATAGCTATGCCAAGCTTCAGAAGGACAATTGAATACAGAGAACGAAAAGGATGACATCACTTCAAACATGAACTTTTAATAAAATTATCCTGAAGAAACGTCCCTGGTGATGATTATTTTCTTTTCCCTGAATCTTCTGTTTTACTCTTTCCATGCATTTGCAACAATTCAAATTACTGCCAGGCTAGTGGCTGTAGTTGACTCAGAGCCATCAACTACTTACAAGCAGAAGTATTTCTCCCTGTTTCTCAGTGATTCTGACAACAAGGGTGTTAAATACAACACAAAAAAATAACTCTGTAAGATCACAAGTCGCATGTATAGCCAATAGGCTGTATAACAGCTATATTCACAAGGCAAATAAATAAACTGAGGACTTGTGACTAGCTCAGCTTCTCCAGGGCCAAGACTTGATGGGTTTCAGCCCAGTGTTCCCTGTTGATGTGCAAAATATGCAGTTGCTTGTTATGTTAGTAAACTTCCTCCAAATCATGCCCTTCTTTCCAAAAAAAAAAAGGTACCAAACACCTTGTCAAAGTTCATCTGTCCTAAAGAATGGCACTCAATATTCATGAGCCAACCATACGTTTAAGGTAATAACATTCTCCCTGAAGTGTTGTGAAACATTCAGAAACTGCAGTAGTTGCAGCCATGTAAGTATCTGAGACTGAGACAGCCAGACACGAAAAAATATGTTGCAGTCTCCTGCATGAAGGAGAAGGTACTCAAACCACAGGAAAGTGATACAACATTCACTTCTAGCTCTGGTACAGCCCAGTAGATCAAATTTTAAAGTTGTAGAATTTCTTTTTAAATGTGAAAAATATTTTAAATGTTTCAAGATCTTTTATAAATCCTTGAGAATCCTAGAATCATGCTAATAAGGGACGCTGAATTTATGGACTCAAATCTAAGCCCTTTTAAACATTCAGGGTAAAGAAATAGCTCTTTCAACAATATTTTTCTCAATCAGCCCAAATATTTTTGAAGCAAATTTTTTAGAATACATAGCTTACATGTATGAGTCTACTGAGAGTTTACAGAGATATTTATAGAGAAATTACTGCAGTACAAAGATTTAGAATCACTTAGAAGGTCTTAAAAAGCATATGACAATACCTTTAGTGCATAAAGCTGCTGCCAGAAACTCCTGCCAGTGAGGTTTTTTCCCATACCATCACCTGCTCTCTGTCCATGCAGCCTAGACCTTCCTGAGGGCTGTCGTAACATCCCTTGTAGGGCAGCAAGAGGAAAAAAGCTGCACCTTCCCACCAGGTTCCCCAGCTCATCAGCCAGCCCTCAGGGCTCCTGCTCCAGCCCTGCTTTCCCAGAGCTACAGCTGCAGTCCATCTGCATCTCCTCCTCTGACACAGACCAGAGCAAACATGCCTGCAGTTTCCCTTGCTACTGTACCAGAGCCTTGCATTTCATTCTTTTTATGTTCTTGAAGCAACACAAATCACAAAATCCAAAACACACATGAGGAGCAATAACTCTGGTGTGAGCCAGAACCTCTTCCACCTGTGCCAATACGAAGACCATTGCACTAGCAAATGCTTTAAGAGGTGTTTCCCCCTCCTCTCACCACCCCCCCCCACCACCACCACCTTGTGATAAATTCTAACTCTGAATATCAAAAGCTGCCACTAATAGAAAAAAAACCAATGGGATAAATCCCTCTCCTGGACACACAAGCACATGAAGTTTCACATTACTTGCAAGTGGCCTGAAGAGTTTGCACCCTGCCCACACATCACTACATGGTTGTGCAATGAGACTTCAGTTTGATAGGCACAGCCCCACAGCAAGCATCTGTGGTTGCAAAACACCTATGTAATTGGTATTCTAACCCACATTGCAGTGCATGTCCCTGCCAGCACATCAGATGCCTGCTAAGGGTGACCCTGGTACACACCAAACCAATACAAGAGTAAATCTTTAAGAGAAATATAAATTGAAAATCTAAATTCGAACTAGGCATCACAGATTATAACTATTTGAAACTGCTGACACATTCACATGGATTATGAAACCTAAAGAAGATGGTGGGGAGACCCTATAGGCATATGATATATATGTGTATATATATATACACACACACACAAACACACACACACATATATATATATATATATATTATATATATATATATATATATATATACACATTGACCATACAGCAGTCTCATTATCCAGCTTCTGACACCAAACTTAAATGAAAAAATTACTCTTCCTTGGCTCCCCCAGCAGAGAAGAACAACATGGCAAGAAATCAGCTTTTCCAGGGGTGCTCAAGAGTTAAAGCCTGAGGAAGGTGGCCCCCTGAAGTGGCTACTGACCTGCATTAGGAGTCTGACAGGTATAGGTAGCTCTTCTCACACTCTCAGCAGGTGGCCTAGGCTTGAGCAGACTGAAGTGGATGCTGGTTCACCTGAGTACACAGCGCTGTAAGTAACAAAAATTCATCTCTTGCTGCAACTGTCCCTGCTACAGGAACAACAACTTCCAAAGACAGACAGGCTTTCAGTTATCATTAACTGAGTCAGCCATTCAGGGTCAGCTGCTACCAGTTATGAATCAGCACCATCAGGCTTTTCAAGTAGGTGTTAAAACCCAGGTGAAACTCATCCCCCCCTTCCCCAGGTGCTAAGCAAACCAGTGTTTTACCCCTGTGGTGCTGGGTGGGCTTGTGGCTCCTGCCAAAGAAGTGGTGGAAGTGATGACTGCAGCTGGGAAGGCACAGATATACCCTCCACCATGGGAACAAGGGGGTGGGGGATAGCTCATTTTGTGCTTTCGAGTAAGGCCAGTGGGTTTTCTCCCCTGTGTAGGTGTTGTGTTTTTGTGTCATGCCCAGGAGATGGAACAATTCAGACGTGCTCAATACCCTTCTCCCGCCCACTCAGTGTAACACCTTAGTCATCAAATCGTCCTATTGTGCTGCTCAATACTTTCTATAACAGTAGGAATATGAGAGTATGGCCAAAGATAGCAATGAACACACAAGGTAATTATTTTTAAGCTTGCTAATCACAATCAATAGTTTCTTAGCAAAACTGATGAGCTGGAGTTGGCTCCTATTTTTAACCAATAAGATATGCAGTCAAGACTTGAATTACACCATCGGGCAAGTCTCCAAACTCCTAACGACTGCCAGCCAAGAAAAGGATGGGTCCTTGGTGGGTCTTACTCCCTTCCCGAGCATGACATCAAAGTATTTTTTCCAGACACTATAAAGCCAGAAGTGGATTTTAACCGCTGCACAACTTCACCAAAAACACCAAACAAGAATCTAACTCTGTGCATCAAAAAGGAGTTTAGAATTCTTGATTGCTTGATGAGTTTGAAGTTTTGTAGCTGTCATGTAAAAGATAAACTCCTGGTAGAACATTGCCATGTGCCTTCCAGGAGTGTACAATTAGAAACAGATGAATACAAGTTGAAGATTCATTAGAAAGCTCACGCCCTCTCCCTATTTTGGTAGGATTTTTCCTTAAAGTAATATTTCTCATGTTTTGCTATCCCTTGATTTTTTTTTTATTTTTTCTTTTTTTATTTCAAA